GGCTCTCCAATTGTTGTTATGATTATTTTCCAGACATTTCTCTTACCTTCAAATGTTCCTCTAGAGCCTTGTTAGTGAGTCTGCTAGTTAGTTTCCTTGGATTCCTTCATGCTTTGTTACCTATGTTAGGCACTTCATTGTCTGCTAATGCCAATGTATTTAAAAAAGTGTTACAGTTTAAGTGTGTATTTTTTTGTCCTATAGCCTACCTATAATGATTTCTTCAATGAAGGTTATTGGTAAAAATACTTAGCCTGGAACACTTTAGTGTTTTTCCAAGTGTGGTCAGATTGTCCAAGGACCACTGCCCTGGTTCTGTGACCAGTTTTTGAACTACCACATTTGATCTGTTAATAAAGGAGATTAATTGTTCCTTAGATGGTATGATTATGTTGATTTTTTCAGTGAAGATAAGCTTAATTATCATCATATTTCAGTTCATATTAAAATATAGGTTCTTCAAGAGGTGCTAGTGATTTTTTGTGACTATTCAACACATCATTAGTTCTTCATTTGTTGTTAGCTTTTTGTCTCAGTTTGATCAAAAAGGTTACTGCTGTAATTTGTAATTCCAGAGAGGGAATACTCTCTCCCTACTTCATAATATGTATTATATAATTTGTTCGATATCATTGATTATGTATTAAGCATACAGAACTATTTAGCAACATATATTACTAACATTTAGGGAAGGTGAAGGCATAAATAATATGAAAACATTTTAAATTATAGAACTTGATGTATAAGTTATTTTGTTGTAATGTTTCAGTGTATAAATAATGTAGTATATATGGGGTAGATTAAAACAAATAAAATATTATGGTAGATCATATATAAATAAATTTAATACAGAATTCAAAGATAATGGTGTAGGTATTATTAAACAATTACTTTTAAGGCACATAAAAAATAGTGTTTATAGAAATGTTATTAAATCATATTATTAGAACAGTGAACACTCACCAGCGATTGATAGATACCTTATCACTAATGATGCCCTTAGGTTCAATATGAGTGAGTGCTTAAACCACCCTTCCACCTGACCTAAGATGTATTCTGGCTAATGACGTCCTTAACTCAAAGGAAAACATGTCTCACAAAGATTATCTGCTATAAAAAAAGTGATATTTTTCTGCATTATATTTCTTCTAATTATGGGTTGTTCTGCAATCTTAGAAGTTTAGATCATGGGTCAACATTGTTCACTATGTATCATTTAATTTTTCATTTCTGTAGATATTATCGAGTAATGCATTTGATATGTGTTATCCTTGTGTTATCATGCATTAATAAAAATTGGGAGCAACAGACAGCACGTGGTAATCCAGAATGTTGTCAACATACCTTTAAATGTCAGATATAACCTGGATAACTACTGTTCTAAGAAGATCTAAGAAGATCTTTTCGATTTTCAAAACCAGCTCAAAACATCATAGAAGTACCACCAAATCAGGTAACTTCCTAAATGACGAAGAATATGACATTGTTCACACATACTTTATACATACGAAGGCCGTCATGACAACTGGTTAAATGGAATGTAAACTCATCTGTGAAAATAACAGGTTTCTAATGCCGAAGTTACCAATTGACCTGTTTCTTGAAAATTGTAATTGCTGTTGTTTGTGTCATGTTATATTATGGTGCATACACATGTGATCAAACTGCGCAACCGGGGATATTGTACAAACAATTGTACATTGTATGGTATTTGTTGTGCATCATAAGATTTTTCAATTTCATATGGGCCTTATTAAACTTCTCTGTTCACTACTGATAAAGCATTGAAATGTTAACTAAAAGATCCATGACAACAAAACAAAGATCACAGTAAATACAAGCAATCTCTGAACCATGAGTGCGAACCATTTGCGACCTGGTCCACACAGACCTTCAACTTTTTCTAGATATGAGACCTTTCTCTATTTAACAATGTTTAGAAGCTCTTTTGAGTATCTCTTCTTAAGACCTCTTTATCTGAATTATGGTCAGTCCATGGAATTTTAATTAATCTGAGACACCACATTTTAAACACTTCAAAATATATATGAACGAATAATATGAACTGTACTTACCTTCATGATTTCTTTTTATTAGTTATAGTTTATTTTTATGAACGAGAGAGTAATTAGCATAATTTTAACTGATACCTCCGACCACTCCATGGGCGTGCTCAAGATTAATTGAAAAATTACTTTGAATAATTGTAAAAAATAAATAAATTATTTCAGTGTTATAAAGTGTTATGTGTATGTAAACAAAAGTGACCTCTTTTATCACACACTATATTAGAACTGACTGGCCTACATTAAAAAGAGTTTTAAAAAATTCACATTTTTTTTAATTTTTAAAAATTACAAAAGAGAAAAAGAGTTTTTAAAACCGTCTAGTGTATGTTAAATAGATGAATAAAAATATTAATATAAAACTTACAGCTACTTGTTACAAATCCAAATCAGATTCAGAAGATGAACTTTCAGAACCAAGATTTATAATAACTGGCTCGATCATTTTATCAGTAATATTGTCCAGCTTCCACATTTTTCCTCTTCTTTAATAGTGTGATTTACTGCCTTTTCCCAGTTTTCAGGTTTTACATTATTTACGGCCTCCAAAATCAACTGTTTAACATCATGAATTTTAAAAGTGGTATTTTTTCTTGAAACTTCACTCTTTATCTGTGCCCATACCAGTTCAATCGGGTTTAATTCACAATGATATGGTGGGGATCTAAGTACTGTCATTCCACGATTTTTGGCAATTTCATCAATTTCGTATTTTTTAAATTTTTCTTTATGAAGGGCACACAACGAATAAAGTTCCTTTCTTATAGATCCGGGATGGTACGTAATATTTTTTGAACTCAGCCAATCTTGCAAGTCTTTTTTAACCACTTGTTTGTGGGCAGTCCTTCTATAAGTCTGGAGTGATAACTTACATTATCCATTACTATTACACAGTTCTTAGGAAGAAGATCTATCATTTGTTCGAACCATTCTTGAAAGACATCAGCGTTCATGTCTTCATGGTAGTCACCAGTACGAGTTGATTCAAAAGTTAATAAACCACCTTCAACAAAACCGTCTGAACTGCCAATGTGTACTATTATCAGCCTGCGTCCCTTTCCTGATGGTTGGTTTAAACCAATAGATAAGTTATTTACAAAAGCGTGCCTTTGACTTAGTAACAGTTTCATCCCGCCAAAGTTTATTTGGTGTATGACCCTCGTTGATCCATGTTTCATCAAGATAAAATATTTTTCTTTTTTGGTTTCTCATTTCCTTTATGGTTCTTAGAAAATGTCTTCTCCATATGACAATATCGGTTCTTTCTAATAAAATAGACTTTCTGGGATTCTTTTTCCAGCAGAAGCCTATTTCTTTTAAAAGTTTCCATAACATACTTCGACTCATTTCTGGGTAATCCTTATCATCTCGAACTGAGACAAGAACTTTATCCAATGTTGGAAATTCTTGTCTAAAGAAGAATTCATGCACTTTCCGTCGAAGTCCTTCTTTAAAATGATATTCTATTTGAAATTTTGGTTTCCCTGGAGCATTACGTGGAATTTGAAAACTACCACATTTCTCTTCTTTAATAACTCTGTAAATCGTAGATTTCCCAACACCAAGTGTACTGCTAACTAACTCAACGGTCTCATCAACACTTTCACATAAACGTTTGTCTGTAAATGATTTAAAACAATTAAATATTAATGTTTTTTTCATTAACTGTTAAAGGACCAATTTTTCGGCATTTACACGGCACTTCCAAATTTTCCATAACACTAGTATACACAATAAAACTGCACCTTGCAACTGAAGTACCTACTTTTAGTGAACTGTTAAGAATTTTGAATACGCCACTTGGACCTTCCTACAAAATGGAAAAACCCACTATCACATTTTCTGTGGAATAAGTTTAGAAGGTAATTATCTAGTCAATTACTGTCGTAGATTCCTGGAATTAAAGAATTAAATGTTTGATTGTTGAAACCCTTACTTCGTGGAATGCACTCATTTCAGATAAAATAAAACGTTTTATTTTATCTAAAGAATTAAACTTTATTTTTGCAAATAGGTAGGTACTTATTAAACTTTTATTGGTTATATATAACCAATAAAACATCTTACATTTCTTGCAAATTCATTAGTACCTGTTAACCTCCATCACTCCGACACTGGCAACCTTATTTAGGGATTAGTAACCCTCACAACTATTGTATTCTATTCTGCTCCAACCTTTATACCTGGTGGTCATACTCAATTTAAAATTGTTTTCCTATATACTTCTGTAAACTTGTTGACAAATATCTGTTTTTCATTGAGTCACCCATATCAACAGTTTAGGGATTTGCATACATAATTTATTGTTTTATTACTCTCTCATACATAAAAATACACTATAGCGTGTTGTTACCAAAAGGTATAAATTAATATGAACACCTACATCCCGATAGGATATTGCTGAAATGAATGTGTTTGTAGAATTATGATGTACCTTCTTATTAATCACAAGACCATAATCTCCATTTATACTTAATGAGTTTGTGATTCATTTGTGTAGATAGTTATGAAATTAACATTTCTAGTTATGACTGATATTGGCAGTCTAGTTATGACTGATATAATATCTTTACTAGCCTGTTTTTGGACCGAAAAATGCAGATATATGTTTTACCTTTACTTTATTAAAAATATATTCATGCATGTTTTTAAGTCAAAGAGTGTGTTACTATTTTTTCACAGATAGTTCTCATGTACAGCAATGAAAAGATGAATACTGCTTTTGGAACATCATCAGCACTTATTAAATTATTATAGTTAATATGTATCTTAACATGTCAGGAAAACCAGGAAATAATGTATCATATCAAATATATATCAGCAGTTATTTTGTTATTTTTGTATTATATTTGCAAGCCTAGTTATCTTGATATTCATTGCCATAATAACAATGTTTGTTTTTCAGTTTGCCTAATAATTTCCTTTTATTTTTAGTTTCGCCAGCTGGTGTAAATGGTGGTTATTACCAGGGTGGCGCCCTACCAGTTCAACAGGCACATTCGACAACACCTCATGAAGCACCTCACACAGTTACACCTAGTGCGGCAGCGCCACCTACCCCTCAACCAGCGCCACCCGTGGGACCAGTACCAGTACCGCCCCACGCTATTGTAAGTACTCGTAAGTCGCTCTATGATGTTTATTTTAAAAATACAGTGCTTGAAATGCTGTAGTTATGTCTAATTTTAAAAAATTTACATGAAATCTTGAATGTTTTCTAATATTGTCAATTTGTACTATTTATTTTAAATTCTGGAAATTATTATAATTTTCAACTAACTTGTTATGCCGTGTAAAACTGAAATTCCATAAATTTTAAAAATAGAATAATAATTTTTATCAGTTTCTAATATTTTTTAGGACTTCATAAACTTTTCAACATTTAACCTGGCAAAATTTTTATACATTTATGGAATTAATTGCATGAGCAATTGTTAACATAATATTTTTTAATGTACTATGCTAAATGTTGCTAATTTTTCTAGTGAATCAAATTATATAATGTTAGATTCATTTTTATTATTTGAAAGTACACTTTGTTAAGGAAAGTAGAATAAGGAAATATTTACTGATATAAATAATCTGATTCCATTCTATGGCTCTACATCCTAATTCGAGGGATGGCATCCTTCAGCAAACCTCTCCATCGTTATAGTCTGTAGCCAGGCTCCTCCATGATTAACTGCAAATGATATTCTTAAGTCATCATTCATATCATCCTCCCATTGCTTTCTCAGTCTTCCAATAGGTCTCTTCCTTTGTATCTTCTGTCTTGCATTCAACAGTTTTTTAAGCCTGTTTTCTTCTATCCTAAATAAATGGCCTGTTCATTCAGTCTTTCCCTCATCAGTTTTCCTGTAACTCTCTTCCCCTCAACTTCTCTATCCGGCCCACATCATTCTCAAGTTCAGTTATTATTTTATGTACATGTGCCCTGTTTATTGAGTAATATATGTGCTTGTGTTAAGTCAACGAAAATATTATAGACATATATGTCATGTTCCCAAACTTGCAAAATTCTGAATAGTTGGTCAATTATTGATTTTCCTTCTCTAAATCCTGCCTGATATACTCTGATGTGATCTTCTCTATGAGGATCTTTGGTTAAGTATACCGGTAAATAGTTTATATCCATAAAACAGCAAGGAGATTCCTCTATAGTTTTGACAGAGGAACTTGTCACCCTTTTTATGGATTGGGCAAATGATACTCTTATTTCATTCTTTTGGCATTTTCTCTTCTGTGTATGGCCTCTTATATACTTTTCGTTATTTCACTTTCTCCTGACTTGAAATATAATTTTAAGGATATTTCATCACATCCAGCGGCCTTGTTATTTTTCTGCAGTTTGCCCTTTCAACCTCTTTCATCTTTAGCGATTTTTTGTCTCACTCTTTTCATTTCCTGCTTCTTCCAATGGATTATGTTCTGTGTGTTCTACATAATCACTGTGAAAGTTTTTGGTGAGCAGTTTTTCAAAATATTTTTTCTTTAATTTCGTTAGTGTTGCTGGTTATTTTGTTTTCTCATAAGTTGATTCCCATGTCTATTAATTGTTTGTTTATATGTTGTCTCTTTTTTTTATACGCAGTTTGTTAGCTATTTGTCATTTATTTTCTCTAGTTTGTTTAGTCAAATATATTCTATCTTCTTTATTTCATTCTTCAATTGCTGTCTTATACTCATCATCAAACCATTTTTCTACAGTTAATGTGTTTCTATTTATTAGGTCCCACTGGTCTTCTACTGTTCTTCAAATTTCTTTTGAATTTGGAGTCTTTTCAGTTTTGCCAGTTCTAGAATTGCTTTTCTCAGCGGATTCTCTTTTGCCTGTCTGCTGATCCAACTGAAGTGTACCTGAACTTGTGGGTGGTCTGAGCCGCAGCATGCTCCTCGTCTATTTTTTATGTCCAATATGTTTGTTGCTGTTGTATTTCTACCAAGATGTAGTCTATTTCATATTCCTCCAGGGTATATCCAAGTGCCTTTGTGTAGATTTTTGTGGGAAAGTATGGTAGAACTGATAACCATGTTTTACTAGCTATAAAGTCAATATAACGAAATTGAAGCAACTTCTTATGAAATAATAAATATGAATTAGAGTCAATTTTTCATTTACATTGTTATATTACATGTAGTTTGTATCAGAATGTAAACATATCGGGTGTATTTTGCAATAAACACTTCATAAAAAATTACAAAGTGCCAGTCAGAAATAATGGGATGACCACAACATCTAAAGTTCAATATTTTTCAAAGCAGGTGCAACAATATTAATTAAAAAAAAACTGTTCTTTTCATAATCATGTAATTTTGTTGAAAACAATTTTTTGCTATATTAAAATTTTTATTGATATTTTATTAAACCATTTTTATTGTTTTATCTGTTTTTTGGATAAAATGTTTCGGATATAGTAACCAGTATTTCATGTACTGTATTATATAAATGCTTAGTATGCTTTGGGACTTTGCTTAAGGTGCTGGCTTTAAAAATTATGGGATTGTCCCAGTATTGTAAATTTTAGACAATTCATTAAATTCCTGTCAAGTAGTAGTAACATTTGAATAGTAAATATATTATTTGGGACAAGTCCATGGTGTATAAAATATCCCATTGGTATATATTTTTAAACTTTCAAAGTCAAGTACCATATCTAATGTGTCAAGAGCAACAATTACATTCTACATAGAATTATTCTCTTCTATTCGTATGTGCAAGTATGCTGTACAAAGTGTTCAATTGTGAAATCTACATATAGTCCAGAAAAATCAGTATTTCACAAGACTTCGTAAAAGCCAGGTATTTAATGGTAAACGAAAATTCATAAAAATCGCATTTTTCTCACTAAATTGTTTGTAATTAAAAAACAATGCATCATTGTGGACAACTCATCAAATACCAGGCCATTTCGAAGTCCTGAACACTTAAATTTTTCTTATTTGCCTGGAGTAATATACCAGTAGTAGAATCGTTACTAATATTGTACTTAACATTGACAAAACTACCTTTTTTTAATTAAAATGCATAGAGACAAAAATAATGTATAAAAAGTAATGAAATTGTTTGTTAAAAAAATCTTTTACTTAAAAAACTTCAATTACATGTGGGAATTCTACAAAACAGATTGCCAGGAACAGTATATTATTTTAACTAAAATTAGTAGTAGTAAAAATAAGAAGTGATCATGAGTTTATAAGTTATAAAAGAAGAAGCAAAATTGGTAAAAAAGTTTTCAAAATTGACGAGATTTGCGCAAAAAAGAGAAACCTGTCAGATAATGTCTGCCTAAAGGTTATTAAAGGCATGAAGATAAATATTTTTTTAAACTATTATATAAGATGTTATTTTGAATTGAGTATAATTTGTTGATTTTGTAGGGGCATGGTGTATAACTAATATTTTGTACCATGTGGAATCTTTGTAATAAAAAATATCTGTAATGAACACCAATACATCTAATCCAATTCAATGAAAATTTAAGATATGAAAAATTAAACCAAAGGTACCAATCAAAGCTGTAACTTGGTTATAAAGAATCTAGTCACCATTAAATATAGGTTATTCACAAAATATTCAATATTTAACTCCTATCTACTCCTATTTCTCAATACAACGCTATATGATTTTGAAACTATTTTATTGTGGAGCATTTTTATATTAACTATTATATTTTATAAAATAAACAGCAATTTTCATTAAAAAAATTTTCATAGTGGAAATTCTGCTATTACTTAATGTAATAATTAAAATTGTAGAAATTATGTTCATAACTACATACTTAATTCAAAATTTACAATTGTTAAGGTTAGGCAACTTCACCCAATAAATGAAAACAGAAAAACTGTACAAAAGAATATAATAGAATCTGCATAAAAAGTGGTCATGTAAATTATTAATTAATATCCAAAGGCAGGATAAAACAAATAAAGTTCACCTTTAAAACATCTCAAACTTTTGTGTTTTATTTCTACTGTTTTAATTTGTTGTTGTTTAATTTAATGACTATTTGTATTTTTTCCTTTCTTGAAAATCATATTTATATTAACAAACAAAATGGTTTCGACAGTCTGAATTAGAGTCAGATTCATTATCTTGTTAGATTTTAACTACATTTAACTATATTACAGCTGCTTCGCGAGTGCAAAGGAAAAAATAAATCAAAAATAAAACACTGAAAACTTTTGTTTTTAAAAAATAAGTTGCTACACTATGTTCATTCCCAAGATAAGCTTGAGGTCAAACTGATCGATGGTGTGTCTATATTTTCTCTAACTTACCCATATATTTATTGTTGAAAACACTTAATAGTTTCATACACAAAAAGACTTTAGAAGGAACAAACACTAAACAAGTGTGGGCACACTAGTTTAAATTTCAACTGGTTAGTCGACAGCTTGCTCCAAGTCAGGAACTGGTTTCATATTACACAAGTAACCAACTAGAAACATGCACATTAAGCAACTGACGCAATTTTAGTGTCTCTTTGTAAAACTTGTTATTTTAGACTTGTTGAAATATCGACCAGTAACACTTAAAGGGTTAAAATATCTAAATAGTTTAGATTGTTGGTGTGTAAAATATTAATAAGAACATCTTTAATCGTACATATCTATAAATAATGATTACTATAAATGCTAAAAATAAATTGTTTGTTCTCACAGCTCTTAGAAGATTTGTGGACAAAAATATTGAATCTCTTATCAAACCCAATGACTAAATGATAATAAATGCCGTAACTTCATCAACATCTAGTTTTTGGAAGATGAAAGGAAAGACATTAAACTGTTATATATTAACTGAAAGATAACATTAAAAGATTTGCAGAACTAATCTGCAACAAATACAAATTTTTAATTATTAGACATTTAATGTAATTTTGTTTCAGTAGTATATAAAAAAATCTATCTAGGTGAGGTAATGAAGCAATAAACCTACCAATTTTTTTAAGTTGGGTGCATCTCAATGAAACTTGTTGCATTTGATATGTAAGAGTGTCAGGAAATTTTGTGAACAAACATGATGTGGAAATGAAAATTGCATTATTGAACAAGGAAATGCATTTTCCAAAGTAATGAAAAATGATTAATTTGTAATTTGGAAATGAGTTTACGGGGGATTACTACCTGGGGATTTTTGTGGTCACTAAACACGACTATCATGATGGCCATGGACCCGAGGCTCCTGATTCACTGAGGTCTCGTCTCCTGGAGTTTTGTGTAAATTCGATACAAATCAGTGCAAACTCGTTATTTAGAGGTTTTTGAAGTAACTAAACACTAATATCATATCAGTGATGGTCTGCGGGGCACATGGTACTCAGAACAGGCCTGTCTCCTGGAGTTTTGTGGAAATTCCATACAAAATCAGTGCAAATTGGTGACTCAGTGGTTTTTGGGATCCCTGAACACTAATATCATGTTGGCGACAGTGTGTGATACATCTGGTGTCCAGGACGGGCCTCGTCTTCTGGAGTGTTATGGTACATAAATAGTGCGATACAAAATCAGTTTAAACTTGATATTTGAGGGTGCTAAATGCTAAGTGATGGTCTCCGAGGTATGCCTATGAGATCTGGATGGGCCAGGGATAGGCCTCCTCTTTTTTAGTTTGTGCATTGGAGACTAATTGTGTATCGAATTTCCACAAAACTGTAGGAGGCAAGGCGCGTTCTGTGGATTTAGGTTCTTCACACACCATCTCTGATATAATATTAGTGTTCAGCTACCCCAAAAAGCTCTATGTAACGAGTTTGCTCTGATTTGTATCAAATTTTAAGTGAATAGTGACCCCAAAAACTATTAAGTAGTTATATTGATTTGAATATCATTGTTCGGACTCATCCAAAGTGGCAACAACGCTGCCACGTGTTACCCCGCTGCAGCATCGCGCAGCAGGGCAATTATTTCCGAATTACAAAATTTTATTTTTCATCACAAAATGCATTTTTCTTTGTATTTTTCAACAAAATAATGCAATTTTCATTTCAACATCATCATTTTTGTCAATTTCCTGACACTCTTACGAATCAAATGCAACAAGTTTCATTGAGATCCTTTCAACTGTAAAAATTTGGTATTATTTAGGCTTTTTACCCTCGCCTAATCTTTAATTGTGTTTTTGTTTTTTAGTGAAAAGAAAATTTGTGTTGAAAATTAAAAAAAAACATGCAATTAATTGAGAAAATTCAGTTAAATACATACAAGGAAGAGAAAGTTTGTTTAATTATTCCATTTCGATTTAAATATATCTACAAAAAATATAAGTGTTAAATTTTATAAACATACCTAAATTCAGGTTTATATTGTTAAATAACGGGAAAGTATCATTTGGCTTAGAATATAGGGATGTAGTCACAATAATTTAAATAATCTGTTAATCAGATTAAGACCGGATGGCAGGCTCCATATAAGATAAGCGGGGTCCTCCGTCCAAACTGAGACAAAAAGGGAGTCTCCAAACTAGGATGAAAGTTTATCCTAGGATAAACTAAGACGATAATATTCTCGGTCCTACGAGGAACTAGGATGTAAGTAGCCTCTGTTCTAAGATGAACGAGGACACTATTTAGATGAGAAAATGCAAAAATAAAATATGCTAAAGAAGAAAAGATACCAAAAAGATCTTACCCTAAAAGGGGTCTGGAATACACATATAGATTCTTCATTCACATCTTGATTGCAACACAGAAAATAAAAAAGAATTGAAAAGGTAGGATGTTTTTATACATAACAAAAAATAGCCTACAAAATACCGTTTCTGAATTTTGACTGAAATACTCAGAATTCTTGTGCGGCCCTTACAAAAATTTTTAAGAGGTTATTTAGAATATTACCAAACAAATGCTGCAACGGGGTCTTTGGTGGTGACAATACCTTTAAAGGGAATTATTTAGAATATTTCCAAACAAACTGTAACAGCATTTTATAATAAATACTAAAACAACAATTTTTTAAGAAGGTTTATCAAAAGTAGTTGAACATATTTGTTCTTTTATTAACATGGCATATATTGATTTAAGAAAGACTTAGCAAAAATAAAACTATACACTGAATGTTATTAGTAAAATAAACGAAATTTAGACAAAATGTAAGGAATTGTACACTCTGAAAAATGCTACCTAGATAGAGATTAATGAAATTGTTATCATATTTAACCTAATCAGCCAGCCATGCGTGTCTTAATTCTAAACAAATTAGTTGTGCTATAATATCTTCAGAACCAATATAGTTTTACTGACCAGAAACAAAACAAAAGGAGAACAGGTAAATACTAAATAAAGGAGAACAGGTAAATACTTGGTACAATGATTTGAAAGAATTTTTAGTTGTCACTTAGTTTCATTTGTGAAAGTCATTATTTTGTACTATATATATTCAGATCACATTTTTTTTTTATTAAAATGAACTGATTGAGAATAGAATAAGCAATTTTTTTAGAATAAACTAGTTTTACTTACCAAAAAAAAAGACAAAAAGAAAGTGGGTATATACTTGGTACAATGCTTTGAAAGAATTTTTAGTTGTTTAAATTTTTAATTTTCATTTCTGAAACTACTACTAACATGCAGCTTTAACGCTTTAACCATATTAAACACTTTGTTTAATATGAATTGGTCATGCCTTTTTGAAAAGTATCAATATTAAAAAAAAAAAGTCACATCAACATTTAAAATAACTCTAGTATTCTTATTATCAATGGGATATATCTGCTGATTGTTAAAAAAATCACTTGACTTTTTTTAACAAACTTTCTTGTTGTTTTAGAATGAAGTAAAATTTAATTTAGCAGTACGATTATTAAAGTAGCATAGCGTAAGAATAACAGTAGCAACATAAATGAATGATGTAGATTCCATGATTTGATTTTTTTGCAGCCCATGAGTACTCCAGATCCAGCGAATCACCACGCACCCAAACCGGAACCGTCGGAAGTCCACTAACGGTGTCTCAACAACCCAGATAAGAGTTTCTTGAAGGGCAAAGTACTGCTAGGAATGTGTGGAGTGCATGTTGAATCACATCATTTAAATAAGTTCATGTTCTTTCAACTCTTTAAGGTATACATATCGTAAAAAATGAAAAAATACTTTCTACATCACATGCCTTATGAATACAAAAAGAAAAGAAAACGCAAAATTATTACCAACATGCTTGACTCACTCTGAAATATCTTACTCTAATATTTTTGATGCTTAGGATAATTTTACTGTGACTTTTTTCAACAATCAAAATATGTGTATATAAATGTTTTTTATATATTTTTATCTAAATGACTTTCACTTGTAACTTTCCTTTTGATTTCATAATAAGGTTTTCAGGTGGGTCGAGGATGTACAGAGTGAGAGTCAACTTTGGAAAATATCTTCTAACCATTATTCAATCACAGAAACTACACATCAATGTATTTATTCTTAACACTTATTTTGACAGAAATTGAGTTATGCAACCATAAAACCATTTGAATAGCTTGTGGTTATGTGTCTCAAACTAGCCAATGTTCTTGTAAAACATTATTTTGTAAAACAAAGTCAAAATATATTGAAAAGGGTAAAATAAGGTATTTTCGTGGTAATTTTGATGTTTGTTATTGTATTTTTGAATTGTAGTAATCTGTGATTGTAGACAATGAATTACCAGTTAAAATTTGGAATAAAAACAAAACTTTGGAAAAAAAGTAGTTATAATAAGCTCCCTAAGGGTTACAGGTAAATTTGTGGTACATATTATTTTTTGAACAAACATTTATTGTGCTGTTTTTAAAATTGAGGGTCTAATCCACATTTCTTGTTTGGTGCACTTTCTAAGAAATTGAATATTTCTTCAGAATCTTCTTTTTGCAATTAATGTCTTATGACACGAAATTGTCCAATAGTTACTCACAAAATGGTCAAATTTCCAGTTATGTGTGACTTGTAGAAATGCAGTCCACCGCCACTTACTGACTTAATGAAGTATCTTCATCTCATAGAAAATTTGCTCCCCCCAGCCTTCTTAACTACTTACCTCAGTTAATTCAAAATCTCGAGTTACTGATTTATTATTATAATTCTATAGTTTCATTGAAAGGCATGTCATAGCAAATGATTTATCTAACTTTAAAACTTGCAGTGTTTTAGGATTATTGTTAATTTTCTTTAAAAATTGCTTACTGGCTTTATAATTGTTTGTGATATGATTTAACATCAGTTTAGTGATACAAATGTAAGCAACCAGTTGCCAGATCTCAATTTGTCAAACCTATATTTGTCTATAATATGGGATCAATATTTCAATAGGTACAATCATAGTAAGTTGAAGATCACGAAGATACCTAACTTTGTCCTACATGTTATATTAAAAAAGATATCATAAAATTGGATTTAAATCTAGTTACTCTGATAAATCTGGTCATGCTATTGGCCAATTATCTTTACAAGCTGACAAAAATACATAGTAATATTTATAGTACAGCCGCTTTTTTGCTCCAAATGTGCTTAAGACATTTCAAAACAATTATCTTATGACTTTCTGCCAAAAAGTCAAAAACCCACCTCGTCGATCATTTTAAGTACAGTTGGATTATTGAAAGTGTTTTTTTAATAAATTACTCAGCTATTCGAAGTAAATTTTAATGTGTCATTTAAAAATTAAACATTTGGATATCATCTGCAAGATTCCAATTAAAATATAGCAGAGGAGGTTTATATATTTTTATAAATTAAAACTAAAATATTATCTGTGAAAACCAATAACACTTGATTTTAATATCTTAAATAAAATCCATTTTTTATGGCAGGTTGTTCAACATTGTCAATGTTGCTATAAGATATTTGACTATGTGTTATTTATTAACTGGCTAAATCTTTTTTAAACATTAAAAGTCACAATTGAACATATATTCCGTTGTCTATACTGTATGGAAAACTAATTAGATATATATACCAAGGGAAAGCTAATTTGTTGGATTGAAAATTAATTCGGTAGAAAGTTCCTCCACTAGATATTGCTCCAAATGTGCTTAACACACATTTTAAGACATTTTCCTTATCAGAAACTCGAAAACCCACCTGTTCGATAATTTTCGGTACAATTGGACCATTAAAAGGTTCTTTCTGAACAATGTTACTTAAAAATGAAACATTTTCGGATATCATTTAATAGTTTGACAAAATTCCCAACTTCAAAATATAATCTGTAGAGAAAGGCATATATTTTTATACAAACTCAAAACCAAAAAATCATCTGGGAAAACCAATTGCACTTCATTTTAACATTTTAAGATTGGCTTTTTATAACTCACTCTCAACTCACTCTCATTGTGCCTAAAAGATTATTTGAATATCTGTTAAACAGCTAAATCTTCAATGTTCAAGATAAGACACAATGCAACTTCTCGATTTAGATAATTAATACTATTGTTTAATGAACTAGAGAAACACCAAATATATTTGATTTTCTCAACGCCATAGAACTCTTCATAGCTTCTTCATAGTGCCCTTTCTAGATTCCCCATTTTTGTCTTTTTCTACAAGTATTATTCTAAACGATATTATTAATTTGGTTGTTATGTGCCTAAGAATTGTCTTCAAAGGTTGTAAAATCTGTAGTGACTCTTCGGAAATCATACCTACTTTACAGAATACAGACAAGACAAAATTAATTTAATGCTATATTTGACATGCAAGAAAAAACGATTTAAAGCCAAATTTCTCTGTGATGTAGTATTACACAAAATATTAAAAGTGACTACTGATCAGTTACATATTTAGAGAAAATGCCAAGTAATATATATTTTTATTAGATGTAACATACTTGCAAATAAATTTTAGTGAAGAAATTATATTCCAAAGCATTTCATTGACTCTGCCTGTTAGTTTCATTAATATATTTTCTGATCTATTCATGTTTGGTTTGTCATTTGTATATTTAGATGTTTTATCGCCAAGAGGAATATTTTTATGTATTTTTTCTTGCTTAATATTGTAGTGGGAAACCATCATTTGGTTTTTTTAGTATTATCTTAAAATGCGTTGACTGCAAAATACTTTGTTGGTAAAGTTTTTTTATAAAAAAATTATAAAATAGGTCTATGGTAAATCCGATCATTTAAAATTGCCGAAAATTTTGTTCTCGATCTTTTACTAGAATGAGTGTTACTTTGTCACATATTAGTCAAGGAGATTTACTATTGACCCATTTGGTATGCTGTAGATTAAAAAACATATTCAGGTATGTCTAGTGCAGATCATAATGATCACATACACTTTTTTAATTTTTATTTCTGTGTCTTTATTACTAAGTGCATTATTACGTTGAGAAGAAAGCTAAAGTGCGGTATTTTTTACAAGAATAATTATATATTTTAAGTTTTAGTTGTCACCGTCAAGGGTATTATTCTAAAATTGATTGTTGGGGAAAAAGCAAATTAAGTGTATACTAATAGAAGGTTGAAAACTGAAAAATTTCAGTTGTGTAAATTGTAAACAAATTTCAAAATGTGTACAAAATGATAACAATTATTTAAATGTTTTAATTTGTAAAAATATTTATAAATTTAACTTTATAAAAGAAATAAAAATCGCCTTCACTATCCAACATTTAATAAGATAATGTGATACTTTGTTTAATGGCTGCATGTTTAATATCCATTCTACTGAGTCAGATTATTGTTAATTCGGGAGTATTCCAGCTTTCGTCACAATAAACATGAGACTATTGGCTCTATCGATTCTACATGATATTTCTTGTGAATGATACCCATTCTGCATTCAATGTGCAGCCTAGAATAATATATTTTGGTACTAATTAGCCCATTCTGCATTCAATGTGCAGCCTAGAATAATATATTTTGGTACTAATTATAATCTGGTTACTTGCACTTAGTATAAGCCTATGTAGTTCTTGTAGGCCATCTCTATTAATAACGCGACATCTGTACATATTAAATGACAATTCTAGTGAAAATTCATCACTCAGTGTGAGTCTGTGACTGGCGGAAATCTGTCTGAATTACAGATAACCATAACTAAAACTTTATAGATACGCCACTGAAGTCCCGGCTGTTTCGCCGTCGGATTTTATGTTATTTAGCGTATGGCATACAATAAAAACACACAGTTGACCAAAACAAATAAAACAATGTGCATTAAAAGACTTAGATGTTGAAAACTTTAAATATAGTATTACAAACAAGCATCTAATGTACCAATGTAATGTGAAACATTTTCTATCGCATTTAGGAAACCATCAAAAACTCAACAGAATTGCATTCGGGGCATTCTTCAACAATGTGGGGTCAAAAACTCCATGCAACCTCCTTCAAATGCATTTTCCAACAATGTGACGAACAGTTTGTTGTTTTGCACCACAATCACACTTAGGACTAAAGGCTTTACTCCATCTAGGTAAGCTATCAGCACATGTATCTGTTTGTTCTTATTCTGTTCAGTGTTCATCAGGTATTGAGAGGCAGTTCAAAGCCTGGTGGTTTCTGATTGATACAGGCCATTTGGTGCACTTCTTATGATGAGTCACTCTCCCTAGCATTGGTTAGACTGAAATGGTCCTGGTGTAAGATGACCTTTAACGATGGTCTATTCATTTCGATATCAAGCTTGCCATGGTGGATGGGTAGTTGATGGTTAACCTGGATTTTTCTATATTCTCTAAAAAGATAATGACTTCCTCATAGTTTTGGTAGTGGGATGTGACTTAGAATGGAAAGCTAATTAGTATTGGTCTAATATTGTATCTGAGATCATTCACATTGTTTGGTTTAATTGGGTATCAACAGTCTTTGTGTGTTTGATATTGGGCCATACCGGGGAAGCATGTTTAACTGCCGAGTATACAAGTCCGAGTGTGGATGACTTGATAGATTGAAGAACCCCATGTGGTGCCATATCGCCGGTCGGAGAAGTCCAGTAATTCCATGCATAAATACAATAGTTTGCGCATTTCATTATTAATTACATTTGCTGTATGTATTGTTGTTAGTGGCCGCTATTCATCGTAGTGAGTTCCCTGATATCTTCTAGTACCACTCTACAAATTTGCTCCAAGTATAAACTTTACAGTAACAGTGATAAAAGCCTGACAAACTCCTTTCTGTATCTATACTAATTGATTTTCATTTAACTATGTCGCTTCTATTTCCAATACATATTAGTTATTATTCTTATAACTATCCCGTTTATAAGGATATTCAGAATCCTTTCGTAAGATAGAACTGACTGTCTATAAAAGCAAGTAGATATGATTTGTGATAAAATCCAGATGAATCACATTCAAGTAGTTCCAATAATCAACTGTCATGACTGTTTTTTACAGTATGTTGCTTTTTTATGCTATATGTTTTGCAATCCATCATATGCAAGTAATTAATGATCTTTAATTTATAGTGTTTGGTCAAGTTTGTCAAAAAATTGTCTACCTTGCCTGCAATTCTAACAATATTCAGTTATTACTTGCCATATAATTTATTATTAAAAAAACTAAAAGCACAAAACTTATAGGGCATGTAATTAGAAAAGACCAACATGTAGTACAACTCGAAAGTATTAAAATTGAACAAAGCTAAAAGCATAATACAAAGGTAATTACAGTAAATAACCTTAAGGCACAAACAGAGTAATTATTGGATGCCTTCAGCTCAGCTGTGTCAGCAAATATTAGTTTTTTTATAAGATTAAATTTGTAATAATACCTAGAAACATCTATAGGCATTTTCAAAGCAGTATAAAAAGCTTCTTACTTTACATAGTTCCTCTAATCGATTTCATTGTACAATGATTCTATTCATGTAAAGTATGAAAATGTGAATACTGCATCACGGCGTAAAGAAAACGTTTTAGTTTTTAACCCATTATGCCCTGGTTAATTTTATTTAAAACATAATGTTTTAATATACAAAACAGTAAGTAGTAGGTAATGTTAAAAAAAAGTAAATTTTGCTGTGTTCTCGACAATTGATTTTTGTAGTATTGACCCTGTACATGTTACAATACCTATTGTTTATTTAGGAAATGCTGCAATGTTGTATGAATGATTAATAGCCCAAAATGTTTGAGTTAAGACGTTTTAGACAAAATATACTATAAATTATATGAGAATAAACTATAAGCTGAGACATTGTTGAAAACAACCAGTGAAGAAGGATGGTGAATAAAAGTGGACTTAAGAAACAATTTGAGGTGAAGTGTGCGTACGAATAAATTTCATATTTGTAGAATATTAGTGATATTTGTGACTAATTTCAGTAACATACAAAATGCTTATGATTTATTGCGTATTTTTGTTAAAGGACTATACACATATATATTTTTTTTTGTTGTTATTTGCAGTAATAAAAACTACATTCCACACATTGGTTTAGCAACAAAAACAGTTTGGATAAGGTTGTGTACCACAAAATTGACTGGCAGCTTGAACTGAATTCTCGACAAATGGAAAGTCACCTTATATATGGGGGGTAATAATTTTTGGTCTTGGATGATTATACAGATATTAAAAATACAAACATATTTTAAAAATATTAGATGATGTTCAAAAATTATGTATAAATATATTCACAGCCAAGAAAAAGTGAGTGAAATAATTCACGACTACCACGTGATCATCTTTCCGATGACATATTTGTTGATCAAATGATGATAAATTTGTGGTAGAGTAAAATGCGAGTCATACCTTGAGATTGGATTGGTTTTAATTGCGTTTTAAGGAAATCGTTCACATCTAATTTTTTAGGCGCGCTTTTTCTCAGCTATGAGTTGATTATGAACTACAAAAAAATCTATATTAAAGTATTAAGTATCATTGTTCTGTGATGTAAGTCTCATTTTTATGAACGGTACCTGATATTTGAAAACCTTATTAGTCAACAATAATATGAGGTATCTCAATAAATTTGCAATTTACACTACCATGTATTTTTGTAGTGAATATAAGAAAGTATTTTAAAATATGTTTTTACAAGCAACTTAAGTAAAAACTCAAACAATATAATATTAAGACAATTTTCTAAGACCAGAAGTGTGGCTCTGTGTAACCTTCATATTTCTATTTAATATTTGAATCATACGTTGTGTTTAGTTATTTCATAATGTAATTGAGTAAAGTTCTTCTATAAAATACAATTTAAATGAGGCCAAATGTGCTCGATATGTTTATGAAATTTTCTGTTATACAACCTTATTCAAAGAGATCTTAGTGGTGTACTATTTGCTCAGTATATTTTTATAAAAAAAATTGAAAGGAAAAAATGATTTACAAATTGTAGAAAATGGTTCACCGACTGCAAATCTGATTTGGAAGACGAAAGTACGCAATAACGTTTTTATGAACACAATAGTACAGCATGTGAAATGAAAATTGTAGGGCTATTGGACTTCCACAAAATTTTCAAATAAATATCTTGAAACTTATCTGATTATTTATTTATTTGCTTCCTGTGTCACTGTTGTTTTAATAGAATAGTTTGGTACTACATTGAATACTAAGATACAATTTCGTTTATTGACAAGACAGTCCTTATAGTAAGATCCTGGCATATACAGAGTGGCCCAAAAGTCTAGAGACGGCCAATTATCTCGTAAAATTGCTATACTACGTTCCACGTTTAGAAAATAACATTGCGGAGATAGGGCCATGTATTTCTTATGGACGATAGAAACGCGGCGTTGCCACGACACACACAAGCACAATTTAGGGTTGTATAATTTGTATTTTCGTTTCCACAAACATGAATTAAATTAATGTTTTTTAACGTAATTGACCAAAAGTGCCCATTCGAAACAAGAGATGAAAAGTAGAGAAAATGATTTTAATTAGATAAATAGTATTTACAAAAGATAATTGTATTTTATCTTATTTTAATTATAGTAACAACAGTTTATTTGTTTTTCGGTGAGAATACGATATGCCATGAATCATAGAAATCAGTAGAAAATATTGACGGCTTGGAATGCGTATATATAATTACTAATTGCAACTTAAAATAATACGATGTGCGTATGTCAGCTATTTTATGTCGTTCTCTGACTACATAATGATAATAAGGCTTTTATTTAGTAGTTATTCTGATTTTACAGTTAAATGTTAATTGAAAATGAAAATTCAAAAATTAAGCAAAGGGAATATCTTGGACATCCGTGCAAAAGCGAGTGTCTGAGAGTTTTGGCAACACTGATCTCCATAAGCGTAATGTTATTTTCTTAACTTGAAACAAAGAATAGTCATAATTGTACAAAATTTGAGGTACACCTATTTTGGGATGCGGAGATTCCATATTTCAAATACATCGCCCTGTATATTCAGTCATTATTGGAATCTCCTATTCAATATGAGTTCAACCATATGTATTACTTATGATTTTATGTAGTCTGGAAGGTCTTAAATACATAAAACAGTGCAAAATATATAGATTTTAATAAATTTAAATATTTAAATGTAGAATGCTGTGTTTTTGACATTTGTTCACCATTTATATTATTAACTAAAACTGACAGTAGTTGTGTTTCGAAAAGTTCTGAAAGATAAATTGCTTCACTAAAATGGCTCAACGAAAAAGAATGAATTACTATTCTATTGATGGGAGGGTATAGTGACAGAAAAAGATCTTATTGTGAAGTAGCCAACTTGTTCAATTATACTTTCCCAAACCGTTCTCCTATTTATAAGGAGACTGTACAAAAAACTGTAAAGCGATTTGAGATATAATACAAAGTTTTGTTGAAGATCCACATCGTTCTTCAGTCTTACATGTATCACGTAAGAATAAATTTAAACCATACAAAATTAACTGATTGCAAGAATTAAGTGAAGATGACTTCGATCATAGATTAGAGTTTACTGAGGTAAGGATGGATAAAATTGAAAATGATGAAAATTTCGTTAACAGAATATGTGTTTCCGATGAAGCAACCTTTACACTGTGTGGAAGTGTAAATCGACACAATTCAAGGTACTGGAGAGACGTAAATCCACACTGGATGCGTGAAAATCATACTCAAAGATCACAAAAATTAAATGTATGGTCAGGTATAGTAGGTACTCAGATGAAATTGTACCAACACTGAAAAGTTTGGGGCCAATTTAAATCTGATATGGATTCAGCAAGTTGGAGCTCCAGCTTATTTTGATGTAAATGTTGGTAGATGAGGTAGAATTGAATGGCCTCTACATTCACCTGATTTCAATTCTAAAGATTATTTTTATTGGGGATACTTTAAGAATTCAGTTTACAAAACTAAACAAGCAATTCTTGCAGGGCTAAGTCATAGAATTATCGATGAATCTCGAATAATTTTTAGACAGTCATGAAATGTGGTAGACGCATTCTACCATCAATAGGGTACTGTCAACTTACAAGTGTGCACATTTTAAATAACTAACATTTAAAAAATGTTGTAATGTATCAATTGTTACGTTTTAATGTAGTTGAAAAAGGTTAGTATTAAAAAAATTATTGAGACAATTAGGTGTTGCCAGACTTCTGTTTTATGTATTTAATATCTTCCAGACTACATAAAATTATAAGTGTTACATATGGTTGAATTCGTATTGAATAGGTGATTCCAATAATGACTGAATATACAGGGTGATGTATTTGAAAAACCAAAGTTACTAATAATATAAGAAAAACGGCCAATCTGGCAACATATCAAATATGGAATCTCTGTATCCCAAAATAGGTGTACCTCAAATTTTGTACAATTATGACTAGCAATTTACAAGATAATTGGCCGTTTCCAGACTATTTGGGCCACTCTTTATAGAAAAATAAACTGCTACTAAAGTCGTTAGAGACGAAAATGAACCTGAACCTCTAAAAATTATACGAACAAGCTGAATTTTGCTGAGAATATCAATTTTGGGACCGAAACAAAGGTGCAAAAAGTTTGCCATTCCTACCCCCGACCTTCCTCCTAAAATTCCCCTCGAGGGAGGGGGGAGGGACTGAAAATAGCTATTTACCAAGAATCTGTGCACCATAGAAAAAAAAAGGTCTTTTGAAAAATGAAAAAATGATTTTGAATGTCATTTACGCGCGCGAACTAAAATTTGTATAAACTCGAAAGTAAAAATTTGATATCTTTTGATTAAAATGTTCTACCGACAAAAATCAAAAATGCATTTTAAAGATGAATAGTGTAGCATTCGTATGAATTTTACCACAAATGAAGTCAGTTTCTTTAAAGCTGTTAAATAAATAAACGTTGTGCGATTTTTGCCATTTTTCGATTCTTATTCTCATGAGATGATTAAAATTTGTCTTCCATTGACGGCCGCTATAGAATTTCCATTCTTACAACCTAATCTTCAAAACCTATAGCATGACATTTGGATTTTGAGTTTTAGCAACAAATATGAGGCATTTAAAATATGTCTAAAATAACGCTGGAACTTTTATCACGTCAAGTAGACGCTGCATTTAAATTTTTATTCATAGAATTAGTTATGGTGAGTATAAAAAATCAAAATCGTTATTACTGTTATTCTAATTGACCCATTAAATTAAAACAAAAACATCTTTATATTAAATTTATATTAAATACATTTTTACTTCATATTACATGCAAGAACTTCTTAATGTTTTATTTACAATATGGGATAGGATACTTCGTATGTGAGACCACATTGGTTGACTCCTCTTTTTATTCTGAAAAAACCATTCTCGCCAAATGAACTACCCCATGAGTTTTTAACAATCCAATAATCTTCGCCATTTTCTGATCCATAACCGACAATAAGAACACCGTGATCAATAGCTTTAGGATCACAGTCACCGTCAACAATTCCACCTGCGTAGAAATCGAGAGGCGAAGAATTTAGAGCAATGGAGACAGGACCAACGGTTGCTAAAATTAAAACATGTAACATTAATTATATTAATATATTTTCAACTAAAATTAAAACAGTTTTGATTACAGCGTTAGTGAATTGAAAAATGAATCTACTCAGGTAAGTAAGTAATAAGAGTTAATAGTAGCACTTGATCAGAACAAAATTCAAATTGTGTATGTTCAAAGAATGAATGAAAGAAAGGGAACAGAACTAGGAAAAATAAGGTAGGTCAGTAAAAATCACAATATACGTGGAATCTACAAAAGAGAATCTTCCTTTTCTTCTTTATAAGCAATTTTGCTTTATCATTGACGGATTGATACCTCTATGGAAGATTGTCACTCCATCTTTTGCGCAGTCGTCCGATACTTCTTCTACCTTGCTATTTTGACCACACGGGTTTCCTCCATTGTGCTTATGCGGTTATTCCATTCTTTTTATACACTTCATCTTGGGCTATCAGTATTGCGTCTTTTGCGTAACAGATCATTTTTACTTCTTTGTCTCCCACTCTATCCTCTTCCTTTGTTGACCCTTTTGATGATTTCTTCCATGATTAAATTAAAGTGCAAAAGGCTCAATGAGTCTCCCTGTCTTATTCCGCTGCCTATTTATAGGTTTTGTAAGTTGTCCATCTATTCGGACTTCCATTTTGTTGTTTTGTCATATGTTTTCAATAGATTTTATGACGTCTTGGGAAAATTATCTATTATACAGAAGATGAATTACATCTTTAAGTCTTACTTTGTCAAATGCTTTTTTTAAGCCAATGAGACAAAAAAGATAATCAGTACATAAAATTAGAGATAATATCAGTATTGAATCCATTACTTAATATCAGTAAGTTTGCTTTTAATAGAAAATTATTGAATATGTCATATTATATTTGCAAATCAACTGATACTAGAGAAATACGAAGATACCTAATTGTATAAATAAAGATTATATATAGGTATATAAGAAAAAATTGTATATACATTTTATTTATATTCACTTATTACTTACCGACTGCTTCTTTAATAATGTTCTCATCGCGAGCCAATAGTTTATATCCACTAATATGAATTGCTTTGGGACTTTTTGATCTGCATTGCAATTTTTCGTCGTCATATGGATACTGCTCTTCTGTATCAAGACCCTCGTATTTAACGTACTCAAAGGCAGCAAGCATGTCTCCTCCATTTACACAGTCACTTTTTCTAAAGTCATCTGAACAATCTACTAGTTCTTGAGGACTAAGTAGATCGGATTTGCCGTTGACGATAAAGTTTTGACCCTCAAGAGCCCCTACCTTAAATAGAAGATCGGTGTAGAGATTATTTAAAAACGAAAAATAGTAAAAATTTCAAATTGGTAAAGATATTTCCAGACTCGATTCCCGTGTATATGTTACCGGCAATCTGTATAATTAGGTATTCTATACGATGTGTAGAATGTATAAAATGAATAAATATTATTCATTTTATACTTGCCTAGGTATTCTGTACAATGCCGAATGAGAGAAAGTGAATATAAATTTGTAATGTATATGATCATCTCACGAAATTTGTGAGATACAATTCCACGTGCAGAGGAATTA